GTGTGTGTGTTGGTGAACTGGGTGGCTTGATGTAAATTGATTTTAGTGACTAGAGTTTTGCCTAAAGTGCTTATCAACTTAAAACATTTCTGATTTTTCCAAACCATTATGGCATTTATAAATCATTTCCCTGTTATGAAAATGCATTTCAAAGGTAGCACATTAATTCTCTATTTGTTTTTATTTCAAGCAGTAAGAAATAATTATGTCTAGTTCCCTAACAGGTACAGAATAGGAACACAAGGGGAAAATGCAAAACGATTAGAAGCCTCGCTTCCCTAACTTTCCACAGATATTTACTGTTCATAATTTAATAATTAGGAGGAACCATTCTGTCATTTTCAGTCCTGCTAAAAATTCATCAAATTGATTGTTGGTAGAAAGAGGTAGTCAGGAGATTGACTAGAAATTTAGGTTTCACCACAAATCTCAGTTCTGCTCCTAAACGTCTCTAGAGTAAGGCAGAAGAAAACCAGAGCTGGTTAGAAGTAGAATTACCCTGATTTTGGACTGCTTGGAAGGAGAGGCGAGAAGAAAGGACTGGAGGATGATCTACAACCATGGCTCAGACTGCCAAGCTCTGGAAGAAGTCTCAGATGGAGAAGTGAAGGGAGACTCTTTTGAGGCACTGGCTTTGAAGTCTCAAGGGGAGCTCATTAGTCGGAAGTATTGTCCTAGTTGGAGCATGAAAGTGGGGCTTAGCGAAGATCGTGCCGGTCACTGTTGGCACAGTTGAAGCTGACTAGACTTCCTAGTGCTGGAACTGGAGTCAGCAGAGAAGGCCAGAGACTAGACCTTGAGGGCACAGCTGTATCTAAAACTCTGGTCATTTAGTGGAACTTAAATAACCAGAAGGGCTCTTTGGAGATTGATGTCTCTGGAGCAGAAGGAAGGAGTAGTTAACAGTGCTGAGTTGTAAACAGATAAGGTAAGGTAGCGTGTGAGCACTGATGGAAATGAGGCTGTGTTTAGATTTGATCTGAATGAGAATGAGCAGGTAAAAAGAAAATTGAAAATGAAAAACTTGTTTGAAGAAAGTTGATAGGTAGGTGTGCACCCAAGGAAGAGTTACTACATTTTTAAGATGTTACATATTGAAACAACTTACTCCTTTGAGGAGGAAAAACGAGTAGGAAATAAGGGTACCATAGTAAAGATAGACTTAATGAAGTGACCAGGTTGATAGCAAGGGATGGTGATGATACTGCTGATGGACGGATAGTTGCACGAACTATTTTGCTGCTAAGAGAGGAGAGTGGGTGGGCATGGAGTTTAGCACACCAAGGATGGGCAGATATATGATGGTTAGGAAAACTTAGACTTTCTGTATCTAGATAATTAAAAGTAATTCCTTAGAAAAGTTACTGACATACCAATATTGTGAGCAAAGTTGAGGTGGGCCAGGAGGTAGATGAACTTTTTCACTATCTATATAATTAAAAGTATGTATTCAGTTATATTAATCTACAATTTGAAGACTATGTTACTCCATAGGCTTTTTCAAATATAAATTGATATATTATGATTCAAACTGTTAATTATATTTAACCTACTGTGATGAATCCAGTTCAGTAGAAAAGTTCTTTTTAGCTATGTTATAGTTAACTAAAAAAATTTACTCTTGGCATGACGTTTACTGATTGCAGTTATTTATATTGAAGTAAAATTAATATTGACATTTGAAGACAAAACTTTCAGCAGTATGAGTGGTACAATTTTTTATTTACTTGTCAGAACTGTGTTTATGTTGTTCTTTTGATTATGTGTGCATGTTTGTTAGCGTACAAATAAATTTGTCCTTCCAATACCAAACAATGAATTAACCGTTTTGTTCTGTTAAAATTTCAGACTACTGTGCAGCCAGCAGCTGAGAAATGTACTTAATGAATACCATCAAATAGTCCAGCAGGTAAGGCTGCTGTGCTGAGCATGAGGCTAGGAACAACTAAATCTGCTCTTTAAAGAGCTATTTTGCAAACAAACTGACTTAATAGTTGCTGCATTTTGTAGGTTCAAGTATTATAAAGTGCGTACATTAAGTATAATGTTCTCTAGAATCCTCGGCAGATCTCAAGGTGACACTGGAGGCTGAAATCGACTTACAACTTGAGACTTTAGGTTTTCTGGTGTACCACCATTCTACGTGCATCACTTCCCGGGTGACTTTTCTGCTGAAATTGAATGGTGCTGACAGGGAGAGACATCTGGACTTAGATCTGTGCTGAAATGTGATTTGTAGTTCTAGATTAACAACAGAAAAGGTGAGGGGAAGTTACTTAGGACCATGTGTACTTTCCTAAAGAGAGGAGATGAGGGCCTGGAGAGATGCCTCAGTGGTTAAGGGGACCCAGGTTCGATTCCCAGCACCCACATGGAGGCTAACAACTGTCCATAACTCCAGTTCTAGACGACTGTCTTCTGATCTCCAGGGGCATTGTATGACACAGGTACACTTACATACATGCAGACAATACACTCATACACACAAAATAAAAAGAATAAATAAAAAACATCTTTTTTTTAAAAAAAAGAGAGGAGCTGAGGTAGCCAAGGAGAGAGCTAGGCAGCTTTAACTTAGTTATTCTTAGTTTTTGGAGTCCTCTGTCTGAAAAGTCCTTTCAGGATTGTGGAAACTTACTGAATTAACTGGAAATAATAGAATACCTCCTCCAGAAAAGTAAATATTAGTAGAATTGCATTTCTTTTGATGATTTATTCATTTGTGTCTTTTTCCTGCTTTCCTGTTTTACGTATTATGTTAAGGTAAGTTGTGTGTGATCACTGACAAGGGCAGTCTCTCTATATTAACCATTATTGAGTCACAAAGAAGTACAAAAGATGAACTATTGATTTGTAGACTGAGGCTGCTGTGTGGGCCATAAGTTCAGTATGGTTTTAATGGAGGGTTTCAAGTATTTCTGTCCTTCCTTTGTCCCCGTCCATTGTTCTCATGACTGTGTGTATTACACACTAGAGTTTAAGATGAGTCTGTTGAAGTATGTGGATAGCCTGAAAGATTGTTAATAAAGGCCAAGCAAAACACTGAAACCCACAACTCCGTTTTCCTTTATTCATTTAACAAGATGTTTCCTAGACATCACAGTTACTCGTTTTGCCCCTCTGCCTTCCAGTTGGTCAGATATTCAAATTTTTGTTCTAGTTCGAGGTTTAGTTACATGTTGCTTTTTACTCTTATGCCATTTTTAGCAAATAGGAGCCAAGCAGGCAACTAACTTTCTGTAAAGGGCCATACGTGTCTTTTAGTCCCTGTCAGAGCTATACTCCCATGTTCTGGTAGCAGCTCCTGAGTAATCACAGGCAGATGGCACATGCCTGGGTGTGGCTGCATTGCAGGATAACTTCCTTTATGGAAAGAGGTATTGAGCAGGACTTAGCTGCTGGAGTATGGCTTGGTACAAGTTCTTACACAGATGTAGTAAACCAAAGAAATACACATAGAAGAAGCTGTGGTCTAATGTATTCCAGACTTGTGTGCACTTTCAGTGCTGGGTGATGCGAGTGATATACCTTCATGCGTTGTACCGTTTTCTTAGGTTCTTGTCATCGAAAAATGTGGAACAAATTTACATTGACTTTGTTCAGACCTGTATGAAGTTAGTGCAGTATATCAGTGAGACCAACCTAAAACAGAGCAGTGTTCTCATTTGAGGTGGGGAAATGATACAGCATTCCATCCGAGAAAGCATTCCAGAGCTCAGTGATTTTCTTAGCTTCCCATTTATTCTATAGTTACATGAAGAAGGAAAGATTTTTTAGGAAATGGGGTACCATTACCCTAAAATATTCATTCTGGGGGCTGGAAAGATGGTTCAGTGGTTAAGAGCATTGGCTGCTCTTGCAGAGGACCAGGGTTCGATTCCCAGCACCCACATGGCGGCTACGAACCATCCTTAACTCTAGTTCCAAGGGAATCTGAAGCCCTCTTTTGACCTCCGTGGCATTGCACGACATGGGTGTGCTCACATACATGCAGACAATACACTCATATACATAAAATAAACATAATTAAAACAATAAACTCTTATAGTTGAACAACCCAATGGAACTGAGCTTATGAGATATTTCTTTTAGGAAATATTTAAAGTTAAACATTTCAAAACTGGTAAGGTAAATGCTAACTATAC